AGATGTTTGGGTGTCTTTTAAAAAATTGAGCCAGGCATGGTTGTTCACATCTGTATCTCCAGCAACTAGGAGGCTGAGGCAGGAGGATCACAAATTCAAAGTTCAGCAACTTAGCAAGACCCTATCTCAAAAAAAATCAATCAATAAATAAAGGGCTGGAGATATTATGCAGTGGTTAAAGTGCCCCTGGGTTCAATCTCTGTCACCGCCCACCCATCAAATTGACACATTTTACCTACTTATGGATTACTGATTTCACATTTTAATTCCCGTTTTGCATTCCTCACGGAGAAAATTTGAAATAAAAAAGATATTAATGGCTGGGCGTGGTGTGCAATCCCAATGGCTCTGGGAGGCTGAGGCAGGAGGATTGGGAGTTCAAAGCCAGCTTCAGCAACAGGGAGGCACTAAGTAAAACACTGTCTCTAAATAAAATACAAAATAGGGCCGAGGATGTGGCTCAGTGGTTGAGTGCCCGAGTTCAATCCCTGATATCAAAAAAAAAAAAAAAGAATAGTTATTAACGAAGAGTGTTTATAGTGCCACTATTCATAACAACCTCAAATAAGAGCTAACTAAAAAGCCCGACACTGTAGGCATGGCTAAGAAAATCACAGTCTACTAACTTGATGTGACCCCATGTTACCTTTAAGATAGTGCTTTCGAAATGTGAAAATCTCCAAGAAATTAGCACATCAATTAAAGAGCTGTTCATGGCTAGATTTACATAGTGAATTCCTAATTTTCTGTGAAGTGGTTCATCAACCTCTCCCCCATAGCTTTCTGTTATGCAATCTTGAAAAGTTACACTGATTATGACATTTTGATTTTTGCTGCTATGCCATGGAATGAATTTGACTGTTTTTCTTTAATAAATAGCTTTTATATCATTTGTCCATTCAACAAATAATAATGAGTATTTCTATGTGCAAGACACTATATTAAGCAGCAGGGTAAAGATGTGAGACCTGGGGTGGGGGCTGTAGCTCAGTGGCAGAATGGTGGCCTAGCACATGTGAGGTACTGGGTTCGATCACTAGCACCACTTAAAAATGAACAAATAAAATAAAGGTATTGTCCATCTACAACTATAAAAAAAATTTAAAAAGAAAAAAAGATGTGAGACCTGGTCCCTGGCCTCCTTGGCTCTTAACAGTGTAGCCAGAAAGAGACACAACACCATTGAGAGGATTGAGAGGATTCATGATGCCAGGCAATCAACAAGAAAGTAAACTGATCTGGTACATCAAGCAAGATTTCCCTTAGGGTTGGGTGCAGTGGCATACACCTGTAATCCCAGTGGCTCTGGAGGCCAAGGCAGGAAGATTGCAAATTCAAAGACAGCTGCAGCAATTTAGCGAGGCCTAAAGCAACTTAGACCCTATCCCAACATAACAAATAAAAATGACTGAGGATGTGGCTCAGTGGTTAAGCACTCCTGGGTTCAATCCCTGGTACCAAAAAACAAAAACAAAAACAAAAACAAAAAACCAAAACAAAACAACCCCCCCTTCCAAAAACAAAAAACAAAACAAAACAAAAAAGCCAAAAGATTTCCCTAGGGAGAGACTATATCAGTTCCCTTTTGAGGAGTATGGAAAACAGAGAGGGACAGAATAGCAAATAGGAAAAAGGAAAAAGGGCACCCATCGAAAATAAGAGTGAGCTGCCATTCGAAGAAACAAAAGAAGGGAAGTACCAGATTATGCTTTATTGATGGTACTGGCAGAATGTAGAGTGGGTAGGGAATATGAACCCTGGGAGACCAATTTGAAGTTGTTGCTGCAGTCCAGAAGAGAGAGAATGGTTGGGTTCAAGTGGTGGCACTGTAGAGAAATACAAGGATTTAAAAGATTCTTGTGCTGGGTGTGGTAGCACAGGCCTGAGACTGGGGAGGCTGAGGCAGGAGGATCAAAAATTCAAAGACAGCCTCAGTAATTTGGCAAAGCCCTAGACAACTTAATGAGACCTTATCTTAAAATAAAAAATAAAAAGGGCTGGGGATGTGGCTCAGTGGTAAAGTACCGCTGGGCTCAATCCCCAGTACCAATAAACAAATAAATAAAGGATACTTGTGATGTAGAATCAACAGGATTAGAAGGTTGATAGATGTGAAGTCTGTGAGAGAAATAGTGAAGGACGGCTTCTAGATTTCTACCTAGAACTGGGAGGAGCGGTAGGTTTGATGGGGGAAAATGAGTTTGGGAGATTTTTTTTGTGTTTGAGAATCTTATGAAATACCCAAGTGAGGGTGTCCAGTATATAGATAAATGGATGTACAGGTTGAAGTTGGGGAGAGTTCAGGAGAGAAGGTCTGAAGTACCTAATCTGTCATACCATGGGAGTGAATGGGAGAGCCTAGGAATCAGGTACAGTGAGAAGAGAACTATATGATGTAGAGAAGAAAATGAAGCTGGCAAATAGTGATCAAAGAAGGAAGACAAAACTAGGTTTCACATCAGTTAAAGGAAGAGTGGTTTGAAAAGGAGGGTTTAATGTTGCTAGAAGGCCTAATAAAATAAGGACTAGTGATCTTAGAATATTTTTGTTGGAGTAATGGGGGCAGAATCTAGGCTCAAGTGGGTTGAGAAGTGGGAGGGAGGTGAGGCATTGTAATACTGATTATAGACACTGTAGATCTGACCATGAAGGGAAGGAAGCCAAAGGTCAGTAGAGGAGACATGGGGAAAGATGGGGAGATTTTACACATTTAAATGCTGGTGGAAAGGAGCCAGAAGAGGATGTTGACAGATATGTGAAGGAATTGTTTGCACAAGATCCCTATGCACAGATGGAGGAATTAGGCTTAACTCTGAGGGTCATTGGAAGAGAAGTGAAGGCTTCAAGACCAGTACAGAGTGGCTGGGGCTGTAGCTCAGTGGCAGAGTGCTTGCCTAGCATGTGTGAAACACTGGGTTCGATCCTTAGCACCGCATAAAAATAAAAAAATAAAGGCATGCTGTCCTAATGTATAAAACAAAGCCACAACTACAAAATAAATAAAGATCAGTATAGACACAGTTAAGTTTGTAGATCTGTTGTCAGGAAAGTTTGAGGAGTTCATCTCTGGTGCCTTCTTATTCTCTTAGAAGTAGGAGAGTGAGGGTGGGGTGAGGACTTTGCAGGTTTAAGGAGGAAGTCTTTGACTTCCTTTGACACTCTGGAATGGTAGTTTTCCCCTGCATTAGAACATTTCATTTAAGTGAGTTTTCCTTAGTGGAATTTCAACCTCATTTTGGAACTTATTGATCAATTTTTCCACTTATGTGCAGAGCACTCTATCTTTGCTTAGTTCTGATTTTTTTGATGCAATGCAATTCCTAAAGGCTTTTTTTTTTTAAAATGGGGTTCTCCACACTGCTTTTGTTTCACTTTCCATCTTTTATGTACATGGAATATGAAAGGTGATTTAATACAGGAAATACAATGTAGGGCTTTTAAAGTGCCTTGGATCAATAGGTTGATACAAGGATCGGATCCAAATATGACCTAATGTATAAAACAAAGTCAGTTATTATATAGGTCCTGCTGCCTAGCAGTTGAAATAATTTCTCATTATTGGTTTCTGCAATATACCAGAATACATGAAATATAGAAAGTGAAGCAAGATTACATTTAAAATGTTCAAGTGAAGGATTCTTGCCACCATATTCTTAGAAGAGAAAGGAGCAGGTGGAAAGTGTGAGAAGGCAAGATGGAAGCAATATGACTGAGTTTCTCATTCATAAATTGAGAACATCATCAATTAGAAAAAAAGAGAATTAAATGAGATTTTGTGTATAACCTTTATAATGTTCAAGGTACTTTATATACCTAAAGATGCATTTATGTGCGTGTGCATGTGTACACATGTATAAAGTACCCTGCACATTATAGTGATATAAAGGTTACTTGATGCTATTTACTATCCTTGAATAAATTTCTTTTTTGTACCTAACAATATTTTTATCAGGCCTTTTTTTCTAATAGCTGTTTAGTTCCATGGTAACATAAAACTACGTTTTCAAACTTGCTATAGTCTTAAAATAGAATTGGAGAGTAGGACAAAAGGGAAATAAGGCTTGAGTATCTATCATATGTTTTACGTATGATAGTACCTGCATACACAGACTGTCTTTATTTTGCAGATAAGGCTCTTAATCTAAAACTTGCCTGAGGTTTTAAGTTTATAAGGCAGAGCTTAGAGTTGATTAAAACATTTACTGTTCTAATACTACACCATGTAAATTCTGTAATTATTTTTTCTTTTTCTGTGAAAGAAAAAAAATGCATTTTTAGTTATGAGTAAATAACCATGAGACCGAGAATTCTTCTTTGCCATTTCAATGGGATGCCTATTACTAAAACATAAGATCAATATGGATATACTAAAAATTATGGTATAGTCAAAATAATAAGGTACCTGTCAGAAATGTAATCCACTTGTAATTTTTAAATTATTCTGAGCTAGTTAGGACCAATTCTTGTGAACTTCAACAGATACCTAGCCAAGGGCAGAGATATTTGTGTTTTAGACAGTAATAATTAGAAAACACAGTGATGTACATATTTGAAATAAGTAAAAAATATTTTTAACCACTGTCTACAGCTAAATTTACATATGGTGACTGTTCTTAATTTTACACTGAAATCTACAGTTGGACAAATGTGAATATATTCATGATATAATACAAAAGAATATTTGAAAGCTTAACTGTTTTGAATAACCTACTTTCCTTCTGAGAATTTTGAAGCTGAATTTTGCATTGTGTATCATTTTGATTCTAAAAATGGAGTAAAATACCAGCCAAAAATATATTTTGTATCATGTAACATTTATTAGTGTACGGTCAAGCTGGTGCATAATTTCAGGGCTTTTTATAGTTATCTAGTGAAATACAAGTCAACTCTTAAATTTTCCTGTGATTTATAATGTCAATATTTACAAAAGACATACTTCAAAGTTTTGTAGGTTCATTGCTAGGTATTTATAAAGGAGTCCTTAGATTTTAAAAGACTTATTGATATAGTTCAAAAATAATTTATTTCTGTGATGAATCAGAGAATTAGGAAGACTGCTCCCATTATACATTAACTCTCAAATGGGAGACAGTCTGGCATTTAAACAAACATATTTTGCATTATCAGAAAGACAAGTTTTCTCAGAGATTTAACTCTTTCATAGTCTAGACTAGCTTCCTAACTCAAAATTTTTGAGTCACCAAAATAAATTGCTTTCTTATCTTTAGCCACAATTACAAATATTGCCTATCAGCAACTTACATTATTTATTCTTCTTGCTGTCCCCTACTATTTCACTCTATGGTTGACAGCCAATTCCTAATCTTTTTGTTGTCTCCCTCTTCTATTAGGTCTCTCTTTTATCTAACACATAATGACCTAAAGTGGAAACTTTTGTAGTTTTCTGACTTTTGGTTTCAACTCCCATTCACTCAGGCCAGCTATATAACCTCTGTATATTACACTTACTGTGTTTTCCCCTTCTTGGCTAAAAGGAACTGAGTTACTGCCTCTGTGGTCACTGGGTGGTGAGGTTATTTGGGGCCATTAAGAGTTGGGGGCAGGGTTAGGCTAGGGAGGTAGTTGAAAGAAGTTTCATAGCTGAAGCTAATCTTTAGTTTGAGTCCCCTAGGTACTGCAATCTAATTCTCATGAGGAACAGAATTAATATGTGTATTCAACTCATCATCTGATTGTTAATTATTTGAAACAACTGAAAAAAACACATCCGTGGTTTTGGGTGAATAGTATTTCTTTTTGTTTTTGGTTCCCCATTTTAAAAATTACATTGTCTGCATTTTGAATTAAGTGTGTGGGCTGAGAAAGATCACTCTTCTTCCTATTTAGAAAACCAACTTTAAATTTCAGCCATAATAGTCCTGAAATTACCATGATATAACTGAAGACAGTTCTGTGAAATTAAGGATAGAGTAAAAACCATAGCTATCAAAAATCAAAAGTATTTATCTGAAATAACTGGTATCTTGGGGAGTTATCAGCTATAGTTTTAGAACCAAAGACCTTTGGACATAAGGAGAGAATGTGTGTATGACTAACAAGGCAAAGAAAAGCTGTTATCAATCTAGAGTGGCAAGTCTACTGAACAAACTAAAAGATCCACAACAGCCATTTATTTTAACAAAGATACTCAAGATTTCCCTTCTTAGAGCATTCCAGGGATCAGATGGAGCAAGATGGGCTACCATCATTTTTATCAAATATTTGCAAAGATTATGCTGATAGTCAGGAAAGTCTTTGCACAGTGAATGGAAGATATCACTGAGATGAAAAACTGATTCTCATACTATTAATTAAGTTAGGCCTTGATCTGTTTCCAACAAATGGAACTCTTTAATTATGTAGGCCATGCAACAAGTTTTTGGTTCTTCTATCATTCTCTTGCATTCCTCTATGTTTCATATATACTTGATTTGTTTTACAGATGACTGTTTTTCCTTTGGAATAAGCCTATGTGGATAAGAGAGACCAAGTGAATTAATTTTACACCAATAAAAACACAAGTCTTATTTGAACCTCATGTATATTAAATGTTAAGATTGTTTTAAGGTTTTGGTGCATAATTTCAAGACATTTTTACAGAATATATTGCTCTCAAGTCAGGGTTAATGTGAAACTTTCCACTAAGATAATGCAGAAGATGACATTCTTAAAAAAAAAAAATTAAGCTTCCTCTACCAGGCATCTTCCCTCAGGCACTGAGACTGGGGTCATTCAATAAATGGGGAAGGGCAGAAAGAGGAGACTTCTAAAGTCACAGATATTCTTCAATAGCTAATTTTTAGCAAGTCTGGCAATGAGATCTTTCCATTCTTTCCTCTTCTTTGTGATGTATGTAGGGGTAAGTAGCTGCAGTAGTGATTCTGGCTGTTGCCTAAAGAAGTTCTGACACAAAGCCTCAGTGTTACATATCACGTACATCCCACAGTCATAGCTGTTTTGTTGAGCAGGGGCTTTCTCTTCCACAAAGACCAGTTTGTCTCCTTTTCTGCCTAAGAAAGCCTCTAGTTTCTCTGCTACCTGCTTTGCATGAAATGAGTTGCTTCTGCTATGGGAATCATAATGAAAAAAGCTATTTTTATCTTGGAGATAAACTAACAAACTCCAGTGGGTTCCCCCTGCTGCCTCATTAGAGTTATCATTGATGGCTAAAAATACAACTTTCTTGTGGGGAAGGTCCAGGGGATGAAGGAACATGGCAATTTCTGATGGGTTGTTAGTACATTTGATGAACTGGGTGACTTCAGGGCTGATGAAGCAGACGTGGTCAGAGCAATCACAAAACTGACTGTTGGCAAAGTACTCAAAGGCAAATCCAATAATATGGTCATTGAGCCAGCTTGGAGGATCTAATAGTGAGACATCTGATTGCCGCAGAAGACTGTCCATATAACTCAAGACTACAGGGTCCATTTTGTACGGACCAGTGCTGCTCAGAAATTCCAGGAGCTGAAGGAGAGACAGAAGACAATATTTACTGTTGAAAATAAAGTCAGGATGTAAATAGTACCTACTTTTATAGGGTTACGGTAAACATAAAGTGTTTAGCAATAATGCCTGGCTAAGAGTAAACACTCAAGAAACTTTAGCTTATGTGTTGTATATGAACAATTAGAATTAAAACTTTGGCATTTTTCCATGCAGACAGGAAGTATGAAATTTTAATTTTGTATTTTAATGCAAATATTGGCAAACTTGGTTAAAATCCTAGCTAATCTTCTACCAAATACCAGAGCAGTGGCTCTTCAGTAAATATGCATGATACGAACAACAAATTAGTTGTTATATTAGTTATTATTTTTATGTGGTACTGAAGATCGAACCCAGTACCTCACATGTGTGAGGCAGGCACTTTACCACTGAGCTACAGTCCCAACTCCTTCTTTTAACTTTAGTTTTCTAAAGATGACTTTAGGGGCTGGGGTTATGGCTCAGTGGTGGAGTACCTGCCTAGCATGTGTGAGGCACTAGGTTTGATACTCAGCACCACATAAAAATAAATAAAGTGAAGATATTGTGTCCATCTACAACTAAAAAATTATTTTTAAAAAGATGACTTTAAAGGGCCTGAAGGAAAGATCACTAATTATCAAGGGAAACAGTTTTTATTTCAACATTACTTTTCAAGAGGTAAAATATTGCTTCTTCCTTCCATAATGGAAAGTAACAGTGGTTAGAGTTGTAGTTAAAAGGAACTGTAATTTCAAGAACAGAAAATAATGAGAGTAATGAAATTTATCCTTGATTCTGCCCAGCTATGAGCATAAGTGATATGTCTTTGCTCATTTCTCATCTTTAACCTCAGAGTCAGGATAAAGACTATGTAACACTTATAATGTAAGTTAGAAATTCTTTTTTTAAATATATTTTTTAGTTGTAGATGGACACAATACTTTTATTTTATTTTTTTTATTTTTATGAGTGCCTCACATTGTGAAGCAGGTGCTCTACCACTGAGCTACAATACCAACCCCTTCTTTTAACTTTTTGAAAGGTAAATACAACATGGGAATCAGGAGAACTGAGTCTAGCCCTAGTTTTACCATTGATTTCCTAGTATTATTTTGAGCAATTAAATGATTTTTTCCTTGTTTCTGTCATCAGTAAAAAGGGCATCTATTTGCCTTACACACCTCAGAGAGTTGTAGAAAAGGACAAAAAATTTACTTGATAGTACCAAAAGAGTTTAAAAAGCATACAAATAATATTTATATTATCAATTGGATGATATTAGTAAGGTACTCAGAAAATCCAGAGAGAAGTCCAAGCCAATCAAAGCAAATGAGGTTTGGGAATAAACATTTTTATATATCATCTTGTACAAATGATAGAAGGACTAACCTACAGCAAAAGCAAAAAGTCTGGTGGGATAAATATGCTTGATTCAAGTCAGGGAGAAAAAAAAAGGCAACAGGTCTGGTGAATGTAGAAGATGACATAACAGTTGAACCTACAGACTCAACAGAATTAACAGTTAACTGCTATGCATTGACCTGGCAACACAATATCTTCCCCACCCCCACATTTATTGGGGTATTTCAGTTGTACATTTTTTGGGGGGTACTGGAGTTGGAACTCAGAGGCAGTTGCTTAGTGCCTTGCTTTTGTTGAGGCTGGCTTTAAACTCATGATTATCCTGCCTCGGCTTCCCCAGCCACCGTGCCAGGCCAGTCATACATATTGATGGGATTTACTTTACATCATCACATCATCATATATGCACACAATATAACAATATAATTTGGCCAATTTCACTTCCCAACACATCCTCCCTTCCTCCCCACCTTCCAGTTTTTGGTCTCTCTCCTTTATGGATCTCCTTTTGACTTTTAAAGAAATCTGCCCCACTTTTATTTTCGCTTTTCCTCTCTAAGTTTCCACATGAGAGAAAACATATAACCATTAACCTTCTGAGTCTGACTCATTTTTCTTAACATGATGGTCTCTAGATCCGTCCATTTTCCTGCAAATGCAGTAATTTCATTTTTTAAAATGGCTGTGTATATATAACACATTTCTGCCCCCCATTCATCTGTTGATAAGACACCTAGACTAGGTTCCACAGTTTGGCTGTTGTGAATTGTGCTGCTATAAACATGTGTATGCATATATCACTGTAGTATGATGATCTTAATTCCTCAGGATAAATACTGAGGAGAGGTACAGCTGGGTCATATGGTAGTTCCATGCCAAGTCTTTTGAGGAACCTTCATACTGATTCCCATAATGGTTGTACTAATTTACAATCCCACCAAAAGTGTCAAAGTGTTTCTTTTTCTCCACATCCTCTTTAGCACTTATTATTTTTGTATTCTTGATGACTGCCATTCTAACTGGAGTGAGTTGAAATCTCAGTTTAGACTTGATTTTCATTTCCCTGTTAATGACAATGAACATTTTTTCATATATTTGTTGGTCATTTGTATTTCTTTTTTTGAGAAGTGTCTTTAATTAATTTCCCCATTTATTAATTAGGTTATTTGATTTTTTGGTATAAAGTTTTTTGAGCTCTTTATATATTCTAGATATTAATCCTATCAGAAGAGTAGTAGCAAAGATTTCCTCTCATTATGTAAGTTATCTTTTCAGATTCCTAATTGTTTCCTTTGCTATGCAGAAGCTTTTTAATTTGATGCTGTCCCATTTATTAACCCTTGGCATCATTTCCTGAGCTTTATGGGTGTGAATGAGAAAGTCATTGCCTGTGCCTAAACGCTGGAGTGTTGACCCTATGTTTTCGTCTAGGGGTTGCATAGTTTCTGGCCTAATTCTGAAGTGCTTAATACATTAAATTTTTTTAATATGTATTTTTTAGTGGTAAATGGACACAATACCTTTATTTCTATGTTTTTAAAAAATTTTTATGTAGTGCTGGGTATCGATCGAACCCGGTGCCTCATGCATGCTAAGCAAGCACTCTAACACTGAGCCACAACCCTGACCCCAAGTGTTTAACCAATTTTTAATTGATTTTTGTTCAGGGAGAGAGGTAAGGGTCTAGTTTCATTCTTGTACACATTGATAACCAGTTAGTTGTCCCAGCACCATTTGTTAAAAAGGCTATTTTTACTCCTATCTATGTTTTTGGCATCTTTTGTCAAAGATCAGATAACTGCATTTGTACCATACAAAGCATATTATAAGATAACAATAGTACTCCTGTAAAAGACAGGGCTAGAATTATGATGTCAATTTAATTAATTCTACCATTAGACCAGTTATTTTGCCATTTGGTTATACTATTATAACATGCAACTTTGTGACTATTATTTTTATGTAATCAAAACTATGCCAAAACCTTTATAAAAAATAAATATACACTTCAAGAAAAAAAATCTAGAGTAAATTAAGTAACTAAGGAGTATCAGGGCTGAAGTTGAGGCTCAAGAGGTAGCGCGCTCCCCTGGCATGCGTGGGGTGCTGGGTTCGATCCTAAGCACCATTTAAGATAAAATAAAGATGTTGTGTCCACCAAAAAAATAAATTAAAAAAAGGAGTATCATGTACACATGGTATATCATGATTTGAACTACTGCAGAAATAATATACAGCTGTTGATGAAAAATATGTATTTATACATAAATAAGATGGTATGAATTAAAATTTTCTTAAGAAGAAGGAATGAAAAAGGAATAACCAGAGCAGTGATATAAACTGGAGCTAGGAACAAAGTTAACGAGGCATAGAGCATATTTATCATGGGTGAGCCACAAATTTGGCTCTAAGGTTTTTGGCAACTAACCAGAGAGAGTTAAGTTAAACATTCACAATGTTCATGAGGTAAAAACAAGGCAATTGCATAGAAGAGGTAAAAGATTTCTTTGTATTAAGGTCAGATATTTTTTCTCATGGAATTTTTATAAAAGTCAACACAGTGTATCTTAACAAATATGTCCATAAATATGGGGCATGATGGCTGCAATAGTTTGGTAAGGTTTTTCTCACAATGATCCTTAATATCTAGTCTGACACCAAATGAGCAAATGGCAATTCAGTAAAAGCAATTTGGTGGAGATCAGGTACTCAGTTTACTGATATGTCTTAATCTAAGAGTATATTAATACAAAAGGAAATGTCTACATGTGGGTCAAGCAAGGCTTCTAGATACAGAACCCCACTCCCCATGCTTTCAATGAACACTGTATAGTATGAGTACCAGACTGCACAGCTTGGCAAATACCCAAGGACCTGTTCTCTATGCTGCTAGCTGAAATCAGATCTGCACCTTTATAGCCAGCTGGAGATAGGAGCTTACAAAGAGAAGAGAGCTTGAGTACAATCATCTCACCTTGGAGGGAGTGTCCACAGGCAGAGTGAATATTTTCAAAAACAATTTTTGTGGGCTGGGAGACAGCTCAGTGGTAGCGTTTGCCTATTGTGTGTGAGGAGGACCTGGGTTGGACCTCCAACACCACACACACACACACACACACACACACACACAAAAAAAAAAAAAAAGAGTTTTGTTTTTGAGTTTTAAAACATCTAGCACACAAATAAAGGATTAATCAAAACTCTAATTCAATTTCATACAGCATGAATATAATAATTAAACTCCCAAGACACTAATGCAAAGAAAACTAAACTAGCCTTTGGCCAAACCCCTCTCAGCAAAGAACATGAGCTCTAAACATTTCATCTAAAGACTTGAATTTTAGATTCAGTTCTGTTACTCACTGGCTGTGTGATCATGAATAAACTACTGAATTTTCTCTTCTGTAAAGTGAAACTATTAATACACAATTTTTATCATAGGGTATTTGTCAATATAACGTAAAGAAACAAGTAATTAGGTTTTTAAAAAAATCCCACACAAACTATTTTTAGATGTCTATCATGTGATCAAGAAATTTATACTCCAGTACTCATAAACTGTATTTCATTTAACAAATATTTACTGAATGCTTCCCATGTGCTAGGGGCTAAAAGTACAGAATGAAATAGCCACAGTTCTAAAATTCACTGGGTTTAAACCTATTTTAAGGAACACATATTGCATACACAATTCTTTTAGTCTACACGTCTGAGCACCTAATATTAGGTGTTGTGGGTGATACAAAGATGGTTACAGTCAACAATGGAGGAAACCAGTAAGAGACACAAATAAAACATATGGAAACTTGGAAGGAAAAGTTAACTTCTGGCTAAGGTTTTTTTTTTTTTTTTTAAAGTGCCCAGTCTAGGAAAGGATTCAAGGAGAAAGTGGCATAAAAGTGGGCTCTTGAAGGGCAAGTGGAATTGGATGCATGGAGAAGGGCATTAAGGTGGTAGAGAACAAGGAAAGTGCCTCTAAGTGTGGAGAGAATCTTGAGTAGTCCAGTGTGGCTGAAATGAAGTGGGATTAGGTGGAATGTAGATAAGGGTGGAGTGTAAGTGAGGGTTAGAGGAAGATTATTAGAAGCTAAGAGATGCAGCACTCAATTTCATGTGAAGGAGTTTAGAATTAATACTGGAGGAAATAGGTGTTATTAATGGCTAAGTCAATGCTTTAGGAAGATTAAGAATTCAGTTATAATATATGGAATTAATCGATAGGGAGAGAAATTGAAGGCAGAGATCAATTAGATTTTTATTGAAAGTAAATGTTTGTTGGCTGCAGTGGAATTGATGGCTATAGTCAATCCTAGCAGCTAGGGAGGCTGAGGCAGGAGAATCACAAGTTCAAAGTGAGCCTCAGCAACTAAGCAAGCAAGGCCCTAAGTAACTTAGTAAGACCCTGTTAAAAAAAGAAAGTAAATGTGGGAGGTAATGACCTAAAAGAGGTAGTAGGAATGGAAAGGCAAGGAGGAAAAGATGCTACAGAGAATCAGTAAGATTTAATAGGTGATAAGAAGAAGGTGGATAAGAGAATTAAGAAATAGCCTGAGGGTTTCAGCTGGGGTGACTGGGAAGCTGATGATATCATTATTAGTGGGTTGGGATAGACAGGAACCTAAGAAAAGAAAATGGTTCTAAGAAAAGAACCATTTACATCCATCCCAGGAATACCTCCTTTCTATATCATGAGCATTGTTCATGGCATATCTGAGTTGCAATAAATGTAAGACATATAAATGTAACATTAGTAAAAGGGAGTCAGAATCTACAGATTAGGGGAAAAAGAGAGAAATGAGGCCTCCTAAAATTTACTTACTCTCTGTAACATTTCTACTCTTACTTTGGCTTTCTGCTTTCCTGTGTGTTCATGATAAATCTCTTTAGAATTAATAGACCTGTGTGTTTGGTATTAGTAGATGGTTAGACTGGAGGAGTAGCAAGAAAGATGACTGAATTGAGGAAGGGGGAGACAATGACTTCCTCATGAAGTTCTATTAGTAAAATCCTACAATTGTTTTGAGGCTAGGAAGCTTTGGGTCTATGCTCTGACTTTGCTACTTGCTATCTATGCGACCCTGGGAAAATTTATCATTTTTCCAGGACTGTAAAATGAGGTAGTAAAAAAAACTTGTATAATATTGCCAGATGAACTAAAAATATGAGTGAAAACATTCAGCTATGTTGTCTGGTATATAATAGGCTCTTGTTTCCTTCCTTATTCCTTGTATTTGGAGTGGTAATGATGAGCCCTAAAAATCTTGAAAATAAAGCATTTGTCTCTTTATATAAAGCCACAAAGTCATCAAAGATAGATATCTGGCATGACTGTGCTCTTGTGCTTTATCTTTGATATAAGAGTGAATGCGGGGCTGGCAGAGTAGCTCAGTGGTAGAGGGTATGCTTAACATGCAGGAGGCCCTGAATTTAATCCCCAGCATTAGAAAGGGTGTGAGAGAGAGAGAGAGAGAGAGAGAGAGAGAGAGAGTGTGTGTGTGTGTGTGTGTGTGTGTGTGTGTGTGTGTGTGTGTGGCCAGCGGCGGAGTTGGGTAAAGAGGAAGAAGAGAAATGCTAACTCCAGAGAAAATTGCTCTCTCAACCTGAGAGTACAGCAATAATATTAATGTTATCCGTATACACAAACCCTGTGATTTACAAGGTTTAGTTTATTGTATCTTTCAACATCTGTAGCTAGATGAAGTTAATTTTAAGTTCAGAGTGTAGAACACTTCTCTAAACAGATTTAGTTTTAGTAGGAGAACTATTTCTTTCATATTAATCTCAAAATCTTTAAAATGTACACTACTTTAATATTTTGTTAAAAAGCAAGGTAATGAAATAAAAGAAACTAAAAGGGAAAATTAACAATTAAATAGGAGCCATTCTGATTACCTGCTGATATAATTAAGGGAAGAAGCTGCTAGTTCAGTAGGAAAAACATTAGGCTGGGAGCTTGAAGATCTGGGATTTAGTTCATATTTGCAATTAACCAGTGTTTGACTTTGAATAAAACAATTCATCTGAGTCTCAGGTTCATAATCTGTAAACTGAGGGGTTTGGATGGAATAAATATTGGTTCTAGCCAAGGAAACAGGATAATCATCTATGGGCATTTTAAAGAGCATATATGATCTTTATCTAGGAGTAGAGGGTTTTTGTTTTTTGTTTTTATTTTTGGTACCAGGGATTGAGCCCAGGAGTGCTTAACCAGTGACTCACAACTCCAGCCCTTTTTTATATTTTATTTAGAGACAGGGTCTCATTGAGTTGCTTAGGGCCTTGCTAAATTGCTGATGCTGGCTTGGAACTCACAATCCTCCTGCCTCAGCCTCCCTGGAGTCTAAGATAACAGGAATGCTCCTGCCTCAGCCTCCCTGGAGTCTAAGATAACAGGAATGCGCCATCACACCTAGTAATAGAGGATATTTTAAAGATGTTTCCAAATAATTCTATGATTTCTTCTTTTTTGGGGGAGGATATCAGGATTGAACTCAGGGGCACTCAACCACTGAGCCAAATCGCAGCCCTATTTTGTACTTTATTTAGAAATAGGGTCTTGCCATTGCTGAGGCTGACTTTGAACCAAGATCCTCCTGCCTTAGTTCCCAAGCCACTGGGATAATAGGTGTGCATCACTGCACCTGGCTAATTCTATGATTTCTAAAAGTGTCATCTAATTCTACATTCCACAACCCTTAAGTCTAAGCTTTCATCTTTGTCAATTTTTTTTTTTTCCTTTTAGCAGTACTGGGGTTTGAATCAGGGGACCCTACCACTGAGCTACATCCCTAGCCCTTTTTATTTTATTTTTGAGAAAGGGTCTTGTCAAGTTGCAGAGGCTGGCTTGAACTTGCAATCCTCCGCCTTCCCCTCCTGAGTTGCTGGACTATAGGCATGCACCACCAGCACGGCCTGCTGTCTTATTTTAAAAAAATCCTGAAGAATTCTAATTTTCTAGTCCAAGGATTAACAAATATAGCCTACAGGGCAAATTTGGGTCACTGACAGTTGTTTTGTAAATAAAGTTCTATTGGAAAAAAAAAATCATCATTTGTTTACCTATTGCCTTTGACTACTCTTGAGCCATCAGGACAAAGATGAGTAGCCTATAAAGTCTAAAATTTTTAATGCTTGGCTTCTTAGAGAAAAATTTTGCTGATTCCTATTCTATACTACTGTTATGCAACCTATTGTAAACTTCTAAGTTGAATTGCTTTTAAGATACTTCTGGGGGCTATTTGGGGGAGATTAAGTACCCTTTAACTAGAGAGGCTACTATTTCTTGCTGCTGCTACTTTTGGGGGGGTGGGGTACTAGGGATGCTTTACCACTGAACTACACCCCTAGTCCTTTTTTATTTTGAGACAGGGTCTCACTAAGTTGCTTAGGGCCTCACTAATTTGCTGGGGCTGCTCTTGAACTTGTTACTCTCTTGCCTCTGCCTCTCCAAGTTTCTGGGATTGCAGGCGTGGCTCACTGCGCTCAGCACTGTTATTTCAATCTGGAGTTTTATGAATAGAAATGTTAAAAATACTAATTACAGTGGATATAAAAAAACTACTTTGTAGATATATACATAAATATTTTGTAATATCAAAAATTTATCAGGGTCTTACATTAACAAGCATTTCATAAGGTCTACAACAGTTTTCATAACTCCTAGGGAAATCTGCTTGTTGGTTGTTGAATAAAGTAGTAAAATCCCGATAAGTCTATTTTACTGTAAAGCCCAACAGAAAACATACTGAAGGGTTGGGGGTATAGCTCAGTTGGTTGAGTGCTTGCCTCACATGCACAAGGCCCTGAGTTCAATCCCCAATACCAAAACAAACAAACAAACAAACAAACAAACAAAAACATACTGAGAACTATAACCTTCATTCATTTTCCCCCATAATTATTCTCAAATGTCCCTTAAAAACACATGGAACAGCTTCATTTGGTATATTTTTATAAACACAGGGTACAGTGTTTCTACTCATTTTAAGTGAAGATTATAAAGGCTTTTAGTAGTTTCTAAATGTAATTCTTTTACTTCCTTGGTTATTGTTTCAAGTTATATCAAACTGCAAATGCTCACAAATGTGGT